GTGCCAAAGTTGGAGTGAAATATGGATTGGAAGAGTGCAAAAATCCTTCTAGCTTCCACCGCTACGGTCGTCGTTGCTTCTCAAGTGGCAAAGAAATTATGCAAATATTTTTTCAATCCTAGAAAGTTTAGTGAAACAGAAGTGGCAAATGACGATAATTGTAGTGAAGTTCTACAGATGAGGAATCGGGAAATAAATGATGTGATTTTATTCTCAGATGATATTGTTCGTCACACAATAAAAGTCCCGCCGAACAGGGATATAACAATATGTGAAAGTAGGGAACTAAATTGTTTTAAATTAATTAAGTACATCAAGTCGGCCCGTGAAACACTTGACGTATGTATGTATCTAATAACAAGCACCGAAATCGTCGAACAAATTATAAGATTGGGTCAAAAGCATATTATAGTGAGAATAGTCGTTGATAGTGATATGGCTTTTACACCACCATCTCAGGTTAAACGACTTAAAGAATTCAGTGAGTATTTTAAATATTATGAAAACTTTAAATTGAGGTTTTTTAAAATTAATTTCACGTAATGATTTTCATTATTTAACATTGCAGGTTTCATTCAGGTCCAGACAAGTAAGAAATCAATATTAATGCATCATAAGTTCTGTATTGTTGATGGACCAAAAGCGATTAGACGTAAAAATTTACTAAGAGCACATGCTGAAAAGTTAAACGTGCACGCTCAATTCACAAAAGAATTTGTTAAACAAATACCTAAAGTCAGAAATGTTAAAGGCTTTGTAATGTCTGGTTCATTAAACTGGTCGACCCAGGCAATGGTCTCAAATCACGAAAGTGTAATCGTAACATCCCATCCAAATATTCTCAGTAAATTTGAAAAAGAATTTGAGAGTCTATGGGTAGAAAATGAACCGGTATGTATGTTATCATTTTAAATTTACTATACGAGTCACTAATTTTTTAGTTTTAATAACTACGTTTTAATTTTCCAGGCTTTAATAACAACTTGACAAATCTAATTTTGCAGTATAAGTAATTGTAAATATAATTTAATATTGGATTATATATAGGTGAGTAAACATGCTTGTAATGAAATGGTTGGGCGTATATAGTTACAACTGTATTGACAAAATAGTATAAATGTTTAGCTAAATACACATAATCGACCAAAGACCATCAAAACAAACCTCAGATATGTCATTTTTATCATTCATTCATTTCTCCAAAAATGACAGGAGAATGCCATAGACAAATACATGTGCACTTCAATTCAATTTCGATCGATCATATGTTTTCTTTGTGTAGTTTTTTCAGCCGCTATAATTCGAATTGGTTATAAGGATTAATCTTAATAATCGTGTATTAAAGTCTGTGCAGATGTGAAGTAATTAAATATATTTTTCCGGATTTTAAACCAATTGTAGACAATAATTATTGGGTGGTTTTAAAGAGGTGCACTTTAAGTGCACGTGCTTGCACTTTTCACTCAATTTCATGTAATTTCAGCTAATGAACTACTGTAAAAGTATAAAATAATTCGTAAGAAACTATCACATGATCGGTGTATTAAAGCGTAAAGTATGAGTTTTGTGTTTCTATAGTTTACTCAGTCTAAAAAAGTGTTAGGTTGAGTTTGAAGTTTTCTTCTTTGGTTATTTTATTTGAGAGGATAACTAAGATGTTAAATATTGTCTGGATCGGCGCTTTGAAGGATGAAGTGCTTGTGGTATGTAAGCATTTTTTAAGCACAACTAGTTCAATTCTATTTCAATTGAAAATTGAAAATGTGTTTGTAATTTATTGACATTCTAGAAAGGTCACTCTTAAAGTTTTTTCCCAATAGTTACATGTGTTCATATTGTTTATCTAGTATGTTTTAGTGCAATTATATAAAGTTAATGTTTGATATGATTTTCGTTTTGAAATATTGAAAAAAAAATATCTTAATTAACAAATTGAAAAAAAAAAACCTCAACTACTTGCATCTAATGGGGTAGACAGACTAGTGTATGCTATTTAAATATAATTAAGCTTAGTGTTAGACAGGCTAAAGGCGGCAGGTGAAAAGAAGGCTGGTCCATTTCTCGCTCAAAGCTTAAGTATATCTATTCAGCGAAGAAACAAATTTAGCACTCTAGGCTTTTTAGATAACATGTTATTCTATATGTAGTTATTCTTTGATATTGTTAAACATAATGTTTATTTATCATTATATACTATTTATTAAGCTTATTTATACCCAAATGTTACATGGCAATCCTTGTCGTAGTATACTAAGTACAAAAGTTAGATAGTGATGTTAAGAAAGTTATGGATATTTCAAGATTTAAATTGCGGTTATTACTTTAGCCTACCCTACAGCCTTTTATTCAAAGATGCTAAAATTTTGATGATGATGATGAAATGTGATTTTAATAGATAAATTGTGAAAAAGTTTTTGCTAAGACATTATGCTTTCAAGAGATGTTATTAAAAAACAATTCCATTGGTGTTGTTAGGCCAATATTTTAATAATAATCTTTGGAAAAGTGTACAGTTTATATGTAAACTAAACCATTTGATTTAGATCATACCCAATCTCTATTAAAATTTATTACAAATTATAATTATCTAATAAAAAGTATGTACATACTTTTATACATGTAGTTAAAATTATTTCTTGTTCAACAATTTTTTTTTAATTAAGCTAGTTCTATCTACAACAAAAAGTGTTAATAATGTGCATAATTAACACTAGCTATGATTTGTGTGAAAGAGGTTGGGTAGTAAGTTCCAACAGCTGCAACATAGACGTTCTATTGTAGTCAAAAACTAATATTGGCTAACAAACCTAGGCCATATGGAATAGTTCTAAGAGCTCTAGCTGCATTTCTTCTTTGAATAAATAACTTTTAAGTCAGAAAAGAATTGGCCCTCTTGTCCCTAACCACAACAAGAATTCAAGGGTACAATACTCTAAAAAATTTAGTTCAGTAGCAGTCCTTCTAATACATTTTTTATGAATGCAATATGCAAAATTTTTTTATTCTGTGTTAGGAATGAAATAGAAATGTAATGGGATAAGGGCGTGTGAACTGTAAAATGTAATCTGTTTACCTACAATAGTGTTTTTGTCTTATATTACAAAGCATTTAAAAATATTACACTACAAAAATAAGGTGGAAATAATATTAGGTTCATAAAATTATTATTTATGAATTGTATCATTTTCACCCTAAAAAGTCACATTGAATTACACATTAATTTAAAATTTAGGTAATTTATGTTTTCATATATTTTTATATTGCTTGCTTTCATAATATGTTTGTCAGTTCAAGCCTCTGTAAATTAGAAAAAATACTTCATAAGTTTTTAAAATTTGTAGAATAGTTTTTGTAGAATAATTAGTCTTTTCTTAGTCTTAAAATCAATTTCTCTTTTCTTATTTATTGAAACAAGTGTTGTTTATTTTGGATTTTAATAGTAATAACTTTTTCTTTGTTTCAGATGGATGCACAAATGATGCAATGCCAAATGTTCAGTTGTGAAATATGTGCAATATGTTTTTATTCTGTGTTAAAAGGGATAAAGTGTGCAAACTGTAAATATAATACGTGATAATTTATTTTTCGCGACAATTGTCAGATGAAATCTCGTTTCTCGCAGTGTTTTATAAGTGCGCTTTGGATGCAGTGTTTTGGTACTAGATGTCGCTTTCGGAGTTGTTGCTGATCAAGTGTGGATGATCGCGTTGCTACGCGACGCTAGATGGCGCTGGTAAGTAATAAGGTTAAGATTTATTTCCATTTCTGTTATAAGCGCCACCTGTGACTGAGTAGTTACACCTTTGAGCAGCTTTTTACAGTACTTTTAATATCCCGATAGATGTCACTGAGATAGATTTTTTGAACTTTGTTAATATCACAACAATTTAACATAAGACATTACGTCAATAAATATTTATTATCACAATACTTTGCATTTAATGATTTTTTTCATTTGTGCCCTAACGTAATAATATTGATTAATTGAAAAAAATCCAACTAAACTGAATTGTGATTAAGTTATGATACGCATTAGCGATTCAACGTTGAACTGCCTTGAACTTAAGACGTTTGTTCCGAAAAAATTTTAAATATTTCCTGAGCAGTTGAGCCATTGGGAGTCAATGTTCGTGGCAATTAATTTCAATGTGAGAACTGTGGATACGTAAGTTTCGCTATTAATGGCATCAAGGAGTTTATTTCTCATACGAAATCTCGCATACCTGAGAATACTATATTATAGTATTTCGCTTTTAATAATAAATTCGGCACTCAAAGACACACGAGTACAGTGGCCGCCAGTTATAACTTTTTTCATATTCTAAACTTTGAGACTGCCATTTTACGTAATTTATGCTTACATACGAATATGTTTTGTTTCGGGTTTGATCTATATTTCCGGTAAAAATCAGACAGACATTTAGACCGATTGATTCTTTATTTAATAATATAATCTCTCGTATTTTGTTAGGATCTACGCCCTGAATGAAGAGGACGGCGCGTCGGTCGGCGACGGTTGATTAAATTATTTAGGTCAATAGGTATTTATATTGCGTAGCAATAATGATACAATACAGATATGCGGTTTACGTGAAGTCATATATCTTGCTCGTTATCAAGATTACACAGGATTTATTACACTCGTTTGGCTTCATTGAAGGGACGAAACGGACACAATGGATTACGGCCCATGGTAAAATGGGAATAATATGCATTATTATATAATTATGTATTGTATTGCTTGGATCCCTTATGGCCTGGTGCGTTCAAATTTCAACAGTGCACGCGTTGGTTCGATTCTCGATTAACGTTATGAACTCGCGTCAATATTAACGTCGTGCTAAAGCGGCGACGGCACCGTCACTTCTCGTTTAAATCGAAATAATATCCGAGATCGTCCATTGAGATGTTTGTCCTTCTATATTTATATATCTATCGATCTTTTTTCAAAGTTAACAAATTCGTTCATTTTTATTTACTATCAATTGTCGGTTATGAACGAAATAAACGATTTAAGACTGATTACAATAGCGATTCATTAAAAGACAATGTTTCAATGTTGTGAAATAGCGTAAGACTCAAATTTTAATTTCATTCCCTACAACTAGATGGCGCCACCAGGCTGCTATTTCGAGAATAATTGTCCATCATACTGCATAGTTAAACGATTGATTTAAAAAAATAACTAAATGTTCACATACATCCACTTTGGTTTGTTAGAAAATATTTCGCAATCGATTTCTCTTAATGGTGAAACATGTCGGATTGCGTAAGTATTTTGCAACGCATTGCAACAGCATTCGTGTGCTTTAAATAAAACAACATATTTTGTTGAACTTTGATATCCGATAATGTGCAAACTAACAGCTGTCTCGCGTTCGACCCATGCATGCGATTCATGCGTTGAATGTGTGAGTATATATGGTCATATATACATATCATCGTTATATAACAGGATTTTAGTTTGCTAAAGTCAAAGTCCACATTTCTTCATCGAGTTAAGCGTTTTTAGGGTTTCGTATCGAAAGGGTAAAACAGGAGCCTATTACTAAGACTCCGCTGTCTTTCTGTCTGTCATCAGGCTGTATCTCATGAGCCGTCATAGTTATACAGTTGAAATTCTCACCGATGATGTATTTCTGTTGCTATAAGAACAAATATCTCAGAAACAGAATAAAAAAATATTTAAGTGAAGCTTCCATGCAACAGACATGATTTCTTTGCCGTTCGTGCGCGAGTCCGACTCACACTTGGCTGGTTTTTATATCTTACACTGACAAAAAAGCCAAAAAACTTTTGTTTTCATGTATATGTGTGCCAAAAAACTTTTGTTTTCATGTATTCATGATCATTTACATGAATGAAAACCATCTCGTATTACTTTCAAATAATGAAACCAGAATCTGTGAGGATTTCCATACAATTAACTGAAAAAAAATTAATCGGTCTCCACATAGTTTCTCATACACACTGTGGAAGTCACTTTCAAACTTATATAACTATTCGATTATGAGTATAGTCTGGAATCAATAATTAATTAGCCTATTTCAGCTAATGTTACATGTAGTGGGACTTCGTCGTCAATATATAGCAAAACCCATTTGACAGTCTGGAACAATCTTATCTCTCTACAGTACATCTGGTGATTCAACCTCAGAAGGATTGGAGTCCCTACTATTTTGAATTCGACGTAGCGACGTCGTGTCAATGGCGTATAGATTACTTTTGGATTATGTACGTGATACTATTTACTTCAGGTTTCTCAGGATTTAATTATCATGATGAAAATCGTGATAATTATTAGTTGACTCCTCTTGTACAATATTTGCAACTACCAGTGTAATTATGAAGGCTAGCTTCGTTACTTCTGACAGAATTTTGTGTGTTATTTTAATCCATACGTGACTTCAGGCGTTACACACTGTGCGAATGTTTTCGCGTACATATACATTTGCCTAGATTTATTGTCTAGACCGCAATATTTGTAGGCCGAGAGCGAATCTAATATTACGTACGTCGATAAATAACCGCAGCACAGTCATCCGGCTATTCGTTGCTCATAGTAATTGTTGGTTCGGTGTGCCTTCATTCAGTACGACTAGGTCAAGGCGCGTCACGACGAAGGGACGACACCCGACTACATGGTCTATAGAATTATCGTCAGCATGATGTGAGGAACGTCACAATGAGGGGAGATAGTAGAGAGTATTCCTGTATTACATTCATAGAACGTTTTTTTTTTACCTACGTTCCATTTACCGGGAGTGGTTTATAATCTTTTGCCATGTACAAAACATGTTGTGTTACTCGCGCACGAAGGATTCCGTATTATAATCTATAAAAACGGCAAAAAAATCATGTCTTTTATGAGTGCCCCACTTAAATATTTTTTTATTGTTTTTTTTTTTTTTTGTATTTGTTGCAATAACTAACATGGGTCATGAGAAACAGCCTGGCGACAGACGGACAGACACACAGCGGAGTCTTAGTAATCTTGTCTTAGTAGGTCCCGTTTAAGTATATAAGTATAGTCATACGAGTATGTATTTTGCTCTGTACTAGCTACTCGTCTTTACTACTATAGATCGAGCGGTCCCAGCCGAAACTTATACTGTGTAAAGATTAACGTATGGAAAATGACTTTTATATATACGTTAACACGATTTTTTTTTGTATTAAGGATTAGGAATAATCGAGAACGAGCCGCGATGGCTCAGTGTCGGGGCGCTCGCCTTTAATTCAATATACTCGAGCAACCTGAGTTCGATCCCCGGTGCCGGCACCAATGAAATTGTTAATTTCAACTGCTGAATTATCGCATGCTCAGCGGTGAAGTACTTCAGAGTCTTGAGGAAACGTGCATATTTTCGAAATGATAATTTAAAAAAAATATATATTTCGAAGATATGTGAAATCCGGCAATCCGCAGTGGGGCCGCATGGAAGACTATGCCCTGATACCCTCTGTACAGAGAAATCCTTAGCCCAGCAGTGGGACGTGTATAGGCAGATATTTTACCACCGACGAAGTGGTCAACAGACATCGGGTCCAGTATTTGTTTTGTGATACGCGCCGCCTATTGTCATCTAATACACCCATAGGGTTGCACATGCGTTGCCAACATTCAACAAAGTGGGCCCCGGCTATTACATCCGCCAAAATCTTCAAAAGATACTGTTATGTGGGGTTTTCACCCACTAGAACCCCTCGGTGGCCAAGTACTGTACGTTGGAGGGACTTCGGGATCTCCCACGGAACGCACCGGTGTGCCACGGTACTACGCTTGAGCACGCCTCGGAGAAGGATAAACCGTCTCCGATTCCCTTACCCTCTTCCAGCAGCACGAGACCACTTCGTGCTGCTGCCAATCCGTGTCCCCCTTTTAGTCGCCTTCTACGACAGGCAGAGGATATCTTAGCCCTATTCTATAAGCCCGAGACTAGGCTGAAACTACAAGGCTAAGCACGACCCATCCCTAGCGACAGTTTCGAAAGCCCACCAGCCCAACACCTCGACAATGCGACGACACCGGAACATCCGATGAATATTAAAGGCGGCGTAATTTCTCGGAAGGTGTCGAACGCGGTGCAACCGTCATGCAAGCCTTCGCGGCATACGAACTGCGCATTACGCCTTTTTTCTTTTTGTTCAAATTAAAAACAATGAAGACAACTCGACCTCACAACGATGCAGTGTTTGGTTAAGGCCGAACCGAATACATTAAATTCTAGTCAGCGGTGTATTTTTTTTACGTGAGAAAGTGGCAAACGAGCTGGCGGTTCACCTGATGTTTAGTGATAACCGCCTGTCCATGGACATTTGCAACAACCGTAGGGTTGCAGATGCGTTGCCACCTCTTAATAAAGTGGGCCCCGGCTACCTCACTCACCAGACGAAACGCAAAGTGCAACACTTCTACTTTACGCCGGTCTTCTGTGAGGTCGTGGTACTTACCCGGACGGACCTGCCCATTCGTGCAACAGCGAACACTGTTGCGTGGCCCTACCACCGTAGATTGCGTGGCCCCACCACCGTAGATTGCGTGGCCCTACCACCGTAGTATCGTTAAAGTTACATAACATAGCGTAACATATTATGTTACTCAACAGAGATCCACGATAAAGGAAAACATCATCCGATACAAATACAAATATTCGAGGCGCAGGGTATTGTGATCTATTTTAAAAAAAGGTCTTCACTAGACCGTTTTTTATTATATAGGTATACGTATTTTTTATTAGTCATACGTTTCCTGCGCGATTTATAGCGGCAACAGAAATACATCACTGTGAAAATTTCAACTATCACGGTTCATGATATATAGCCTGGTGACAGACGGACAGACAGACAGACAACGGAGTTATACGGTCCCGCTTTATCCTTTGGGTACGGAACTCTAATTACCTATATTGCAGTATGTTTTCTCTAAATGTCTCCGATCACGCAGTTTTAAAGCTGTTGACTACGCCGTGATACCTCATTGTCCAGGCCCTCGTTTTTAAAATAATTCAATGTAGGTACTAGAGGAACCCAAGTTCGATCCCCAGTGCAGGCCACCAATGAAATTGTTAATTTTTAGTGGTGACTTTTCACGTGCTCAGCGGTGAAGGAAAACGTCGTGAGGAAACCTGCATTTTCTTGAAATATTAACCAAAAAACAATATTTCAGAGATGTATGGAGTCGGCAATTTCGCAGTGGGGCTGTGTTGTGGGCTTTGCCGAGATAACCCAGACAGGGGAAGTCTGCCCAGCAGTGGGACATGTACATTTAAAATAAAATAAATATATTTAAATACATTTTATTGCTTCTGCCGCGTGGTTTTTCTTCGAAATACAATATTCAATGATTAGGCATTAGTACCCTGGGCATTACCATCTCCATTCTAAATTATTTTAAAGGGAAGGCCTAGAGGTCCTTTGCGATCGTAAAAAACTTGATCGTAAAATTTCCGTACGTGTCCTTTTTGAATTTCTCACAGAAATACATCACTAATTTAACAACGTCACTAATTTAAAGTTGGTTCCTTTACGCGCGCACGTGATAAGCATCATATTATATCACTAGCGATCCGCCCCGGCTTCGCACGGGTGCAATGTATTATACCTATAAACCTTCCTCTTGAATCACATTATGTAGTAAAAAAAACCGCATCAAGATCCGTTGCGTAGTTTTAAAGATCTAATCATACATAGGGACAGACAGACTGTGGGACGAGTTTGTTTTATACTATGTAGTGATGATACACAACAACAACGTATAAAAATCAGGAATTTATGACACCTAAACAAATACTGTCAATTATTTTACCGCCATTGTTCTTAATGTGTGTGAAGATATCAAAACGTACGTTGCATTCACGCACACATGGACGCGTACGAGCCGGTGGAGCTGAAAAAGCGCTTTAAAAAGCGCATTCTTAAAATAGCGCGAAAGCCGCCTAAAAATTTCCGCGCAAACCGCCGATATGCGTCAAGCGGGGGGACCGTTTTTAACACACGGCGCGCGGCGTCCGGTTCGAATCGATTCTTTTTTTTTTCTTGCCTCCGATATTTACAAACAAAGCCCGTGTAAGGGTTAACAGCGAGCGCCGGACGCATGGAAACGCTGCGGCGAAAGGAAGTGGCTCGGAAGCAAGCGCTCGCGTAGAATCGACATTGGAAACGATTAGCACGCGTCCATTATCAACCGACTTCAAAAAAGGGGAGGTTCCCAATTCGACTGTATTCTTTTTCATGTTTGTTACCTAAGAACTTTCGACAGAATTAACCGATTTTGATGATTCCTATTATTATTTGAGAGCTGGTGCTTCCCACGTGGTCCCATATTAATTTCATTGCTATTGGATCTAGGGATCCGGAGATACTTAGCGAACACCTGAAAATCAGTTATAGAAAATGAATACAGAGTTTTTCGTTAATAAAAAAAACGGACCTGTGTTACGTGCAAGTTCACACATTCCGATGTCGTTTATGAAGAGAGTAGGTATTTTTGAGAGACTTAACGTTTGGGCCTATCGTGTCGGGCGGTCATTCTGGGACCTGGTCACGACCACCGCGCGGTTACCCCTCGCTAGAAGACCGAGAGGAGCTTTTTTTTATGTGAATAGTTGACAAGCGAGCAGGCGGTTCACCTGATGTTAAGTGAATACCGCCGCCCATGGACATCTGCTACACCCGAGAGTTACAGATGCGTTGACAACCTTTTGAAAATTGGGCTCCGGCTACCTCACTCACCAGACGAAACGCGAAAGTATTTGTCATACTTCCACTTCACGGCGGTCTTCTGTGAGGTCGTTGTACTTACCCGAACGAGCCTGCCCATTCGTGCAACAGCCGAGGCCGCTGCGTGGCCCTACCACAGTGCATTGAAGCCGAAATCGATGTTTTCGAAACAGCAGATCCTAATCCTATATCCTGCTTGAAATCCGTAAATAACAAGCCCACTCCAATCGTCCCATTATTTATATAAATGGCGCGCATTACGATAGATTTTATTACGTACTCTTCATAATAATATTCGGTTCGCTCACGTGTACTTTATACTCATTCACATAATTTACGATCAATTCGTGTAAGTGGCCCCGATATTACGACGATCGCACAATCCGCCGCCCCACCGTTGTCGCCTAGCAACGGCGGGCCGCGTCGGTAACGCTCCAAATTCTCAGTAAGCGATAGATAAATAATTCAATTTCGTACCTTTTCTATAACAGTGCCATCACCTGCGTTCCCTTTGAATGGAGACGGAGGTTTAAAAAAAAAAGCATCCCGCCAATATTTGGCGTCTCGTTACTCAATGTCTTGTGCTATTGTGTTGTCGAGACGCCATTGTTCGGCGCGAATTTCCCCTATCTCGGCGCCGATCCAATTAGGACCTTATCCTCTCGCGGTCGGGAGTGTTTTTTCAACGGCAACGTCTCGACGTTTGTTCCTTTGCGGGACGTCAGATCACCGGCCAGGTGCGACGTCTTACGAGTTTTGAATCTAGCTTTGTCCCGGGCCTCGGTCCACAAATCTTTGCACAATAGATGCAAGATTTGCACAAAAACAGGGGAGGGCTTTGGAAAAAAACTAGTGCACGGCAAATGCGTTCCGGTACGTTGCAAGCGGTTCCGATGTATCGGGTGTCTCGAAAGCGCTTGCTAATTCAGTATTCATATTATTATTATTAGTAGCTTTACGCCTTCGGATTTCTTCACATAGGCATTTCATCACAGTTATACCGGCATTTTTTTCGGTAAGTTGTCCGTAGTATTTGTGAGTAAAAGACCCTGCCTAAAATAGCGCGAATTTTTTGACAGATGTTTTGTTTCTAATCTGTTGCACCGTTTATAATCGGCCAGAGCTGGACGTGGTCGCGTACCTCTGTAATTTGAAATGTTTGTGGCTTTCGTTTGGCTCTTTAGCGGTTAATAATCTTATATTCGTTTCATTTTGGTGTATTACGACTTTATAACTTTCTTGAATCAAATATAGTTTCTAAATGAATCATGGATGTGTTTTGTAATAATTTTGGATGTTTTTTGTACATGTATTTATTTAATACTATTCGTTGTGGTTTTGAAACTGTCAAATTATTATACTGCTTCGTGAAGGCCGCGAAAGTTTTTTTTTTTGCCCGCACAAAATATCATTTGTAAATTTTTTTTCTCTGCCCGAAGCCTCGCCGTTTCTGAACGAATGTCATAGTATAACACGAAGTTATCAATGGAGCGTCCTAAAACAACAAGTCGTTGGAAAATTCCCCGGCCCGCTGTTTGCTTTACGGAATTTGAATTTGAACCTTTGATTTTTTTTCCCTTTGTCAATACTTCCCGCTCTTTAAAACGTTTCTACGTAGGGATTAAGAACCGTTTTACTCCGTTAGGGTTGCCTGTTCTATAACTGTATAAGGTGTTCGAAGTCAAATATATATGTATACAATTTTTTAAACCCATTACACTCCAGACACTGTGATGTGTGCATTGTATATTGAAGTGTGCCGACGATGAGAAATTTACCAAAATTACGTAAGTCGTTGAACTGCGAACACTGCTTCAGGGCTTATAGAAATTATTTACCTCTTCATGATTATGAACCAAAGTTATCGACGTCGGTAGGGCCACGCAGCAGCCTAGGCTGTTACACGAATAGGCAGGCCCGTCCGGGTAAGTACCACGTCCTCACAGAGGACCAGCGTAAAGTGGAACTATAACAAATACTTTCGCGTTTCGTCTGGTGAGTGAGGTAGCCGGAGCCCAATTTTCAAAAGGTTGTCAACGCGTCTGTAACCCTCGGGTGTAGCAGATGTCTATGGACGGCGGTATTCACTTAACATCAGGTGACCCGTCTGCTCGTTTGGCAACTTGTCGTATAAAAAAAAAAACATCGATAGAATTAATTAGTGTAAATCGAAGTTGCGACAGCCCTGATCGGTTGTTTGTATGTTGAACTTAACCTTTTGCCACCCACGAAGGTGCCTGGCGTCTCGTGTGTAACAAACAGGATAAATATATCGCGGGGTATCGCTTCCGAGGGTGAGTTAGGGTTCTTCGAGCCTGGTTGTGCGTTGGAAGAAATCAATCGGTTACGAATCGTGTCTTGGCTATTCCAAGGTTTAATTCACATCAAGATGTCAGCCGACAGCGCAGTTTTAAATGGACAGCATTTTAGACTTTATGCCGATTGAAAAAATGTGCTGTATTGCCTGCTTGCCCCGCTTATACCGCAATACCGCAGCAGCCTCGGTCGTTGCACGAATGGGCAGCCCCGTCCGGGTAAGTACCACGACTTCACAGAAGACCAGCGTAAAGTGGAAGTATGACAAATACTTTCGCGTTTCGTCGGTGAGTGAGGTAGCCGGAGCCCAATTTTCAAAAGGTTGTCAACGTATCTGTAACCCTCGGGTGTAGCAGATGTCCATGGGCGGCGGTATTCACTTAACATCAGGTGAACCGTCTGTCTGCTTGGAAACTTTTCACATTAAAAAAAATTACAATGACATTGTACTTACGCGTTTGTCTTTTCACCAAAGACAGGCTTATCGTCATCATCCTCCTGCCTTTATGCCACTTAGGTGGGGTCGGCACTACATGTGAATCATGTTGTACTTGATTCTGTCTACGTTTTCTACGATCGGCCGCCTGCCTGACGTAAACCCTCCTAGGGAACAACCACCTAGATTGAGAACAATTATATGTGGCTCACACAAATACTTGTCCCACGTTGGAATCGAACCCGTAACACCCGGCATCGAAGCCAACAATTGTGCCACCGATTCACAACAGGCTTATATATATACTTTAATTTGATCTATCGCGGATGTCAATTATTTATTTTATGCACCAATAGGTAGTACAAAGATAGAATTAATGCCAAAGGCATATTATCTCGCCGTCAAATTGGGGTGGTACAGAGAAGATTAGGTAGGTGATAACACAGAAAGATATTAAAAAATAAAAAGCTGATGTTTACAAACTACATTATAAATAAATGTATATATGCATATGTTAATTATAGTATAAAATATACTAATATATTCACATATAAATAGGTGTATACATATACATACGTGGATATTAATAAGGATATTATGTTACGGTTCTTTACTTTCGATTGAGCCGTATTTGCTTGGAGAGAAACATGGAACGTTCTAGACCGATTCATTCTTAGCCACCCGCGAGCGGAGATTCCGCGTACCGGCCTCCCTGCCCGTTCCTCGTGCACGCGGAACGGTGTCGGCAATTAGTCGGGCATCCATAGCGGCCGGACCCTGCAACCGATACGGGTCCGAATACCGACGGCGTCTAGCCTTTTTGCCCGACACCGCGCCGCCTCGCCAGCTGTCGGCGCGTTTGTTGGATGTATTACGCGCGGTCGACGGAAGCGCTTTACGCGTGGCTGCGCAGCGGCCGCGAATGCGGCGCTGCTATCGCGACGGCAGCAAAAAGCGGCTGCGAGCGCTTCCCTCGCTGTGCACCGTACCGGATAGGTGTCGAGCGCGACCGCAAGCGAATGTTGCGCCCTTTTCAGACAGCTCGAAACAAAGTCGTTACCGGTGACACCGTTGTGTGTGTGTGTAGATCGCGGCTAGTTGTCGAACCCACCACCCGCGACGGTCCGGACCCAAAAGAGCTAGAAACACTCGCGCGTTTAGTTATTATTATGGATTCTCGTTGCCGAATCACAACGCTCGTCGCCATTCATTCATTCATTCATTCATAAATTCATTTATTTCAATATTTTTTGGGCTTGTTGCATAAGGAGATTTTACTTATGAGGGCAATGCGTTCTCCCCTTCCACTCGTTCGTCGTAAACTACAATTATACTAGGATCACGCACGACTTCGTTCTCGCAGATTGCATAATTATGCGTCCATGGTTTATACATATATGCTGGGTAATAAAATCGAATACAATGTATGTTATGGCCGACTAGACAACCTTCAGGTTACTTTAGTCATTATATAACTCACGCAAATAGGACCATGGACGGTCGTAGTGATATTTTTTTATAGTAATTTTTTTAATAAATATGTTTAAAATGTTCGCAGGAAGATTTAAATTATTATTATTTGAGATAACAAAGTTATCGAAGTTAGTTTAGTCGGTTCAAAAATTCACATAAGCTATTTTCCACGTTTAAATAACAATAGTTCTGAGATGTAATAACTAAATGTTGATGCCTTTACAATGAATATTCGAATCCATTTGTTTATCAACGCGCGGTGTTCGCGGTTTGAGATGTTTTCCTATTTATGTCTTCTCGACACAATTCAGCGTCTGCCTTATCGTTCGGAAAAGATTATCTCCCAGCGCACGCAACAATAACACGCCTTGACGTAGCGTTCCGGAATGTCACATTGTTATTTGTGACGCGAGCGTATTTCACAACGTTACTCGGCGTCGGAAATGCAACTTGACGCCGAAGATGGCGCTTACCGGATAAATGTTGCTTCACGCTAATTACAGCGTCGTTTTAATGATAAGAGCTAATAATAATTATTGTTGTTGTTGTATAAACGGGCGTTTGTTGATTTGTGCTTCATTAACGCCGCAGTAGACCACAAAACTTAATGAACGGGTTTAATGGATGACAATGACAAGTGGTAATAACTTATTGACAGATAATCTGATTAACTATTTACTCTCAAATTCGTTAAAAAAGAATGTTACATAAATTACTTGAGTCTTCGTGGCGGGGATTATAGATAGTAGTTTAATATTAAGGTGACCAATTATTGTGTAGTATTTCTTATTTCTATGATCTGCAATACTTCAAAGACACCACCCTTTAATGTGTTTGTGGGAGTGTGAAACGATTTTTTACATAAGATATGCGAAAACCTTATTGGTGTACCCAACCGGGATCGAACCCGCGTCCTTAGTTCGTGAATGCGACCACCCAGCCACTGAATCATCGCTGCAGTGCACAATATACTTTCTATAATATATCCCATTATCTCCCAAACCTGATAGAAACTTTGAAAATGGGATACTACGTGTGAGAGAGACAAGAATACGTTTGCATTTTTCTCATTGCTCGCAATTAGTTGGCGTGTGCAGGCGACCACATTAAAAGCCCTCTCGAAACTGACCATCCATCAAACGGCATTACAGAACATTCTAGATCGATGTTAACGAATAGCGATTTGGCGTGCGCTGTCGAGCCGCCATCGGGATGCCCGACACGTACGCTCCTCCACAACGGGCCGTCCCCGAGGCGGCTTAGCGAGGAATTCTTCAATATCCTCAACCCCTCCCCCCGAGCTCCCCACCTTCCCCCCGCGAGGAATCCGCGTGTGTCGATGCCGTTAGCTCGTAAGTGGCTAGCTTAAAAAGTTCCTCTCACCCTACATGAGGCAGGGTCGGCCCGCGTGCGAGAAAATTAAATCTGAAGGGGAGAAGTTGGTTGGGTGGACAGCTGTTCTGTCGCTCACGTCTATGAACTGTGGTGCGAATGAAATGGCGGAATAGCGAACCGAAATTGTACACAAATTAGAGTAATTAGATTGCAATTCTATATACTGCTATCTCTTTCCATATAACTTCTATACTATCTGTCACATTCACTTATTGTATGACATGTAATGTAAAGCGGAAAAATTCACATAGCACGCCAAGAGATAATAAGTCCCAACGGCGAAAGGCCTAACCGTCGCCATCACTTAGCTTTCAAAACACGACCGATTCGCGGGCCCACTAAGAATGCTCACAGGTCGACAAAAATTTACATCATCATAATTTCAGCCTATTCGAGTCCACTGCTGAACAAAGCCCCCCCCCCCCAGACCGCCGCGAATCACGATCTGACGCCACCTCCATCCGTCAAATTCCCGCACATTTGCACATGTCCTCACTCCATCTAGTGGGAGCTCGCCCTAAACAACGATAAATTTACATCGGCTTGCATCAAATATTAATGACGCGACTAGGCGTGCGTCTAGACGGGAAGCTAGTGGTGAAGTTTATTTTGTATCGAATTAGTGTAATCCCGCGTTGACCCCTTCCCATGGAAACTTAGGCGGGCTACAGACTAACGACCGTCGGTGCACAATACCGCGACGTGGCATTGTTGAAAGTTTCCAGCCGGGCCGAGATCGGGCGGCTCCGAACGGATGCAAACATTTTCGCGATCGGGTGAGTGGGAAACGGGTCATTACTTGGTTCAACGCATATAAAGGGCCTTTTATTATATATTTTTTATGTTTAATGGCAGGCGGCTGGCAGTTCACCCGTTAAGTGATAACCGCCGCCCATGGATATTTGCAACATCCGTAAGCTTGCAAAAGCGTTGCCACCTTTAATTGAACTGGGCCCCGGTCAGCTCCACTCACCAGACGAAACGCAGAAGTTTTACACTTCCACTTTACGCCGGTGTTACGTGATGTCGTGGTACTTCCCCGGACGGCCCTGCCCTTTCGTGCAACAGCCAAAACCGCTGCGTGGGCCTACCACTGATTTATAAAGTGGTAGCAAACCGCCCCGGTTTCGCACGGGTGCAATGTTTAATACATATAGACCTTCCTCTTGAATCACTCTATCTATTTAAAAAAAAACCGCATCAAGATCCGTTGCGTATTTTTATAGATCTAAGCATACGTAGGGACAGACAGACAGACAGCGGGACGACTTTTGTTTATGTACTGAAGTAAAGTAACACAGCCTATACATCTCCCACTGCTGGGTAAAGGCCTTCTCTGTACAGAGGGTATCAGAGGGTACTGCGGATTGGTGAACAGAATTGAAGATATTTTTTAACATAAAATAAATCATGACTGTTGTGCTTACAATGACTGAGGGCACGGATAGCGACATAGATTTCAAACATCTATAATCATTTAAAACAAATAACCAGTGAGATAAGTTTTTGTGAGTGTTAAAACGCATGCCATAAGAGGGTTAACGGGTTGCATTTTCCCTGTGGAGGCGTTAGGCTGTTTATAGAGTTGACATGAATGGGTCTTGAGTCACACCTGACGGATTTACCCGTTCGGAGCCTTCTGTGAACAATTCTGCCGAGATTAGCGACGATAAAGAAACAAACATAAATGCGATTAGAAACGGTGTTAGGTGTGCAGTCGGCCTAAGTCACGGAGGGTGAGAACCGGTCGAGGCGCAACTGTTGGCTTTTGCGAAATAAGTGTCGGTGTGTGTCGGCGAGCTGGGTGTCCTTGCCCCCAATTTGGAATGCGACGGACGCGGCGACAAATTGGCTTTAACCAAAAAATGGGGGAGCGGACGAAGGCTCTACGGGAATCTTTTCTGTATCGATACAATGACGTTGCGGGTAGTGAAACTGCCGTTTGCGCCAGAGGGTGCGGGTTCGATCCCCACTACTGGAAAAATATTGTATGATGAATAGTGATTTTCCAGTGTCTGGGTGTTTATATACGTATAATATGTATTTATTTACAAAATAAAAGTATGATCAAGTTTATTTATCACTTATGTAGAGTACCCATAGTACAAGCTTTGGGACTAGAGAACGTTGTGTAAAAATGTGTCGGCCCTGCGAAAGCCATTGAATTTCGATGTATTCGCTTAGTATATCCAATATATACACCTTCCAATTTCCCTCTTTGTCTTTTTATCCATCTGTCCGTCTGATTGGCCCTATTTGAAATTACAAATCTTGACTATGGTTGGGCCTCGCAATAATCTTTGATGATGCACTGGGCAAGTAGCACTACTTCACAGGAGACCAGTGTGAAGTGGAAAGGTTATACCTACTTCTGCGTTTCGTCTGGTAGTAAGGTAACCGGGATATTAAAAGATGGCGACACATTTGCAACCCGACAATGTAAATGTCCATGGGCGGCGGTTGTCGCTGAACATCAATTGAACCGCCAGATCAATTGCCACCCTCTCCTATAAAAAAGACAGTAATCAGATTCCGTTTTTAGTATTGTAATATACCTTATGTGGTCAGTGTAATTACGTACAGGTAAATAATAAATAGATTGTACCTACGCGAGCGGATCCGAGGGCCCGGCTAGTTGCTTATGAAATATTGTGTGGCGGTTACGTACACCAATTTAGATTCGAAAAAAAGACTGTTAATTAACACCGGATCATTTAAACTCCACCACGGTCCGTTAGTGCCTTTCTTCAGGCCGACCGACGCCGAAGTCCTCCTTTTTGCTCGTATCCCCTGTCAAATGTATGTGATGCACCGTGATATGATTCTTATTACTTACGGATACAGATCACAGTTGAGCATGGCATGTGCTTGGGGCAATGCCAGTGCTCCTCAAACTTTACCTACAATTTAATGCTATCAAACAAATGCAGTACAGGGCCGTGATGGCTTACTGTTCGAGCGCTCGCTTTTAATTCGATACAGTCGAGCAACCTGAGTTCGATCCCCGGTTCCAGCACCAATGAAATTGGTAGTTTGAAGTGGTGGCTCATCAAATGCTCCGCGCTGAAATTAAACGTGAGAAAACCAGAATATTTTCGAAATAATAAAAAACATATTTCGAAGATATGTGAAGTCCCCAAATCCGCAGTGGGGCTACGTGATGGTCTTTGCCCTGAACAGACTGTAACTTTTTTTTTACTTAACCAAATGCAATGGCAAAACCTGTAATAATATAAGATCAATCCGGCGCTGTAATGTGAGTTAGTCTTTATTGATTATTCTTGGATATATTTTCAAAGATAACCTGCAATAGGTTGGTACATATTGCAAAATTATTTCCGATATCTTATATTCTATTGGCTTAAGTTTCCTGTTGTTTGTGGCGCGACGTCGTAGATATGATAGCCGAAAGAACGTATCTTTAATGTATTTATCTGTGATGGTATGCTTTCACTGAAGAATAGAGTAGAGTATATGTATAAAATAAACTAACGACACAGATATGTCTTCTATCTCGATCTTTGGGCTACCAGTTTGAAAGCCGCTGGCCGGGCGGCCGCGGCGAGCCGGAATCGGTACATCGCGTGAAGCGTTACGTTAATTTTAATGCACGTCCGGATTAATTACGATTTAACGTCCGGCGCGAGTTATCGAGGAAAAAGCGGCACGTAATTCCACGGGGCCAGTCCAGTTTACGACGCCGCGCTCGAAAATTTACGGCCCACTTTTTTACGCTATCCCGTAATGTTGGAATAGCGATTCTCCTATGTGCACACGTCTTGTATATACACACATGGGCTGAGGCACATACGCACACATACACACGAAATTTTACGGTTTACGTATAATCTCTCTGCGAAATCTCGAAATACCTTTTCGATATGTTTGATATTATGTTAAAGGGAAATTCCAAAAATACACTGAGACTTTTCCTGCATTAAGTTCAGTTCGCGGCGCAAAGCTCTCTGATTCGGCATGATCTCTTCTTAAACGGAGTGTTTTATGCATGTCGTATGTTCGTAAATTGTTACGTTTGCATTGTGATTTTATTGCTTTACTTTAAACCGAAATACGGGTGATCAGATGTAATGACGCGTTTATATACTCGCGCTTTTTAAATATATATAGGTACGTATATCGGACATTAATTATTTAGTAACACATCGTAGTTAATCTTAGACCTGGGACAATTCAAAGTTGTCTTATATAATATACAAGTTTTTACAATAGTACACCATAATAAACTTAATATAAGATATTGGATACTAGCTCTTATAGCAACTATTAGTGTAAAACATACGGAACGGAAATGTCTTTTTTAATTAGTTCGAAGTGAATATTCAAAGTATGCAACCTTAGCTTCTTTTATTAGAACCTGTAGAAATATAGATTTACATAATATATATTTTCATTCATCTCAAAATAAAATTAGTGTTTTTACGGGCCGATAAGCGTCTCATAGCTCGATGTTAACTCCATTCCATGTTGCAATTGCGGCTAGGAGACAAACCCTAATATTACTGCGATATAATTTATGTTGTATCTGAAGAATATTTTTCGCTTCTCTTCGTATTGCCTCCATTCAAATAACTCTTTCATTTAGCTTGACGCCCAGAGGCGACCGGAGGCCGACGGAACACGATCGCGCGCGTCGAGCGGTTTTTTTTGTCATTCGTTCCGTTCATTCACGTTTTTTTTATTACTGCGCCTCTCGTTCGCACCGCTCATTCATTCATAACCGCGACTTGAGACATGCCGCGGGCGCGTTCTCACGCGTTCCCATTTCGAATTTGGGCGCGAACGGCCGGCCCGTCGAGCGTTCGTCTCGCGTTTCTGGCCATTAAGCGCGCCTGCCAGCTCTCGTGTTGCATTCCGCCCTGTTGCTTTATGACGTCGAATTACAACGCTAACATCCGTAACGTTTTACGAATGTTGCCGCGAACGTTGAACTGTAGCGTTCGTCGTCGGATAAGTCACGAGGTTGCATCTGTGTCCGTTACTGTGTTTTTAAACTCTTCTCTTTCGACTGGGGTGCCTCCGATGATATTTTTTGCTTTCCTTTTTTTTTTCGCTTTAGCATTGTTATTGTTTATAATAGGCAATAGGGAGTTTTTAGCGCGACCTGAAGCAAAAGTTTCACATTTAAGGGACTTTTAGCAAAGCTTCTCGTACAAAACAATTGCGTCTTCGATTCATTTACGTTTTTTAAGGTTTGACAATTCAAATGTTGAGATGAGTGAAGTGAATGAAGACTAGTAGTAAGTCGATTACTGAGTATTGATTGTAGTATCTTACCATTTGTGTATTGAATTGCGAAGTTTTGTATAACCCAATCATCTTCTAGCTTGATATTTGTATCATATTTTCGTCACAAGTTTATAATAATTCTTTACTCATACCAGTTAATTTGTACGCTATAACAAAGTTACATATTAACTCAATCTGTTACTTACCTATATTTGTTTTCATTATCTACACAAATAATTTCGAACGAGTCAAGAGCGTAAGGTAAAAATAAAAACTGCCCGGTTTTTATTCATTTGTAATTTGGGTAATACCATAAGTGTTTTGGTTGTATATGATCTGGTGGGTAAGGTAACAAGAAAACAAGCTGAAAACAATTTTGAAATTGATAGTTTGTAAGTGTTACGCCAAAACACTGACACTTAGTTTCTTTTTTTTAAATGTAAACAGTTATCAAGCGAGCAGCCGGTTCACATGATGTTAAGTGAATACCGCTGCCTATGGACATCTGCAACACCCTTTTACTGTGGCAGGGCATCAGGTGAACCGCCTGTTCGCTTGTCAACTTTTCACATAAAAAAAATGGCGATGGCGATGGCTTGCAGATAGATGCGTTGACAACCTTCAAAAATGTGGCCGCCGTTTACTCCACACACCAGACGAAACGCGAATGTTTAATACTTCCACTTCACGCCGGTCTTCCGTGAGACCGTCCGTTTCTAGTCTTCGTCTGCCATTAATTTCCAATCTATTCCATTGTGCCAGCGACAGTTGCCAGCCGGCATTTACCTGGATTTAAGCGGGCCAATCGGCAAGTGATCTGTTCAGCGTACAACGCTTTTGGCGGGGTGAATGCCCATTTTTTTTTTCTTACCCGACGCGATCGAACCGTTGTGTTCGGGAACACGTGCTCCTTTTGGTTATTTACGACACCCGGAGGCCGCGCGCGAAGCCACTTTCGCCACGGTGACAAAGCTCTCGGTTCGTTCGGTATACGTCCCGAAAGGGATTTAGAAACAGTTCTCGCGCCAGCAAAAATAAATGATAATGATGTAATTTATAGTTCACATTCGTTTTATTATTATATGTGGTGCGGCAAATAATTTGTCTATAAACATATATGAAATACGTTCATGTATGTAATACGTTCATGTATGTTGAAATTTGATTCTTAATTGCTTTTAGAAAGAGTTGTGGAGGTGAAGAGGTAAATATCTATAAAATTTTATGGCTTGCTTGTAAATGAACGGAAAGTCGAAGATTGTGATGGTGTTAATTTGAAATTAATTCAGTGATTAGTTAACGGGAATTTAAACAGAAAGTCAATAGTCCTATACGTCTTATTGGTTATAGCATGAGAGGAGAGTAAGAATGTTTAAATTATTATGATGTTTAAAATCGTATTAAAAATTTTGAATGAGATTGTTAACTGAAAGAAAGAAGTTTATTCGACACAATACATCTTATGTACAATAAAATAGTGAAAAAAAAAAGTGTGAATAATAACTAATATTTTAAAATTTAATATTTCAATATTATACGTTGTAGATCATCAAAATGTTTCCCTAAAGTCTACATCACCGGTTTTCAGTGATGACCATGAATTGATTTAGGAAAATAATTGATATTACATTATATGTGTGTAATTAACTTTTGTAAAAAGCGTTATTGATTTGGCTGTTGTTAAAAATTTCTACGTTTTATATTATTTGCTTGGCTTCGGAATAGATTGTATCATACATCCGATTGTATCATATCATCTATTCCCAAGTAGATACACATATTTTTTATATCGGGAGTTACGAGATAAATTAAACATATTGTAAGATACCAATATATCGTTTGTAAAATAGGGATAGTATACGGTGGAAATTGGATAAGTAATTTTAAATTCACATTTATTTAACGGCCAGTGATATTTTAATGTCGGTTCTATTTAAATGAAATAAAGTGTAGTATCACACGAGTCATCATTTCAGCCTGTTTGAGTCCACTGCTGAACAAAGGCCTCCCCCACAGACTGCCATGAAGTACGATCCTGAGCCACCTGCATCCATCGACTTCCCGCACATTTGCACAGGTCGTCACTCCATCTAGTGGGGGGGTCGTCCTACACTGCGATGGCCAGTACGAGGTTGCCACTCGAGAACCTTTTCCCCAACGGTTATCGGTTCTACGAGCTATATGGCCGGCCCATCGCCACTTCAGCTTGCTAATCCTCTGAGCTATATCGGTTATCTTAGTTCTACTGCGGATATCTTCGTTACGAACTCTATCACGCAGAGAAATACCGAGCATAGCCCGCTCCATAGCTCGCACGAGTAATTTAAATAAAATAAATTAATTAATTTATTTAAAAAACCTTACACTATCATTATAGGTGGTGCGACAATCTACAACACAAAGATTAACTAACTAATTATTTACTATATCGGCTACAAATTAACAATGCGACCTTTTTGAATTCACTCGGAGAACATAATAATAAATCTACATTCCTAGCGATAATATTTGAAGTGGTTCGCATAAAATAAAACACAATACCGGCAGAGTGGACGCACTAGGCGCGCGGAGGCAAGACGTCCCCCGCGACAGATGGCGGGGCCGCATGCTCCCTTTTCAATTGCCCCTCTCCCGGCTCATCCACCCGGGGTTTTTTCGACCCCCTCGCCGCCGTTGCCGCTCCGCATTGTCCGGGGTGAGCCCGAGCTTCGCCCGGAACTCGCATTGCACCGGGGCGGAGCGGCCCACGGCGCTCCGACTGTGCGAATGCGCCTCGCGATCATCTGGGAGCATTGTGACGGCAACGCGGGGATTAGGCGTGGTGCTGATCGTAGCGCGGCCTAATGAACCGCGCGTTGTCTAAATAGAAAAAAAAAGTAAAGTAAAGTAAACAGTAGTGAGATTGCGGATTGGCGGACTTCACCTACCTACGAAATATTTGTTTGTTATTATTTCGAAAATATGCAGGTTTCCTTCACCGCTTGCACGTGATAAGCCAGCGCTTAAAATTTACAATTTCATTGGTGCCGACACCGCGGATCGAACTCGCGATCTCGATCGAGTTTGCTCGAATAGATAAAGACGGGCGCCCGGACACTGAGCCATCACGGCTCTAAGTGTTGTCGCTTTCGTTTTTATAGTTTTGGCTCAATATATAGATAGGGGCGTAGTTTATGTGAATATAAATTTCTTTTCATTGAGCTTTCAAATGCTAAAAACTTAACTGAAGAAAGTTTAGGTCAGCTCTATGTCAATATTCGATGTACGGAAAGCTTGTCGAGTGCTCGGTATCGAACCCGCGATCGTCTCCCGAGTCCGACTTCCCAGCTTCTAGCCTTGTTCCTAAGACATAAGAGCATGCGTACGAAATTAGATTATGCTGCTTCGTACGTGCTTCGCAGACGTGACAGCTGTGCGTGAGGCTCTCGTTTACACGTTGCTCTATTTTGTGCAGTTACATAGGTATTATTGTGCTGCCACAAATCTAATCGATAAAAGTTTTTGATCGCGGCCTTGCCCTCACGGTCTAAGCTAGCTGCAGCTAAACTAATTTTATCTGAATCACTGAATAAGTAATCACACACACACACTTGTTACATATAGGTAGTTTGATATTTGTAGTTGTAACATATAGTTTGATAAATATTAACATTAGTTTGATTTTTATATTAATACACATACTTGTTTTCTTGTTTTTTTTTTCTATTGTCATAAGACCTTAAATGTTTCAAACACGATTTTAAACGCTCGTTTTTTTGTTGCTAAGCCTTCAATGTGGGACAAGAATATATGTATAAAATGAACGGTTCAATTCATCGTGTTAAATATCAGTATAGAATATAAGATAGTGTGTTCTATCCATTTTATTATTTACTATCAAATCCGGTCACGTGGCTTTTTTCTGTGGCTTTTTATTGACGTTGGAACTTTGGAATAAAATATTTATAAAAACACTTTTCCTGTCGAATGGCTACGTTGTGAACAAATACGCAGTCAATCCATCGGCTAGTTCATTGAGTTTTGTGTACACAAAGATACGGAAGCAAAATTTTTATTCGTATATAAAGATATAAATATCACAATATTAGTTGTCAATGAACATAAAACCAATATAAGCGACGAAGCCTATAAGTATGCGCTTTGAATCATCTCATCACTTCCCACACCTTTATGAATGAAATTGACATGTTACTTTGCCCTTATATTAAATTTAACAATGTAACAAGATCGCGTTTACTACCCGATTAGTACGAAAACTGCTTTTTGAATATATATAATATATAGATACTAATGGATGCGTGTATTTCGCAGAATACTGTCATCATCACCGAACGGTTTTATAGTGATGTGTAAATTAGTAGGTAATTATCAATGGAAGACATCTTATTTTGAAGAATAACAGTTTTCAATCTCCTTCGTTGTCTATCATTCAAACAAGTTTCTTTATTTATTTATTTATTTAATTTATTGTTTACACATCAACTTAAGGCTATACAAAAGGCGAACTTAATGCTAATAAGCATGCTCTTCCAGTCGACCCTGAGGTTAGGGAGTAGAGAAAATTTGACGCAGGTGCAAAACAAAATACGCAAATAAATTAATGAAAAATAAATAAAAGAAAAGAAATGAAGCAAATAGTTGTCAAAAATTGGCATCATTTCATGCATTATTCTTATTAATTATTGGATCAAAAAGCGGCTGCCCGGACACTTGAGAACTCATATAATACATAGAGATTCAAGTTTTTCTTAAAGAAATCGTCGAGCATCGAACCCAACGCGCCCGCTATACAGGCGGCCGCCTACCCGCTCGGCCACCTACTCCTTCGGTGTCGCCTTATTCCCGTCACGTGCGCGGCGGACGCGCGAAAACTGCCGAGGGGGCGGTTTTTAATATCTTCGCCTCGCCGGAATCCCGTAAAGGCTGCCGTTTTGAATGATGGCGTACATGAGAGGAGTCCGTAGATGCTGGGATTATCATGGCCGCGGTTCCGTAGACTACTTTAGCATGCCGTCGCGTGACGTCATCTAAATGTCTGACGGAGTTTCGACAACTGTCATGCGAAACGGTACTCTTCATCATGTAAATATAAAAATAACTTTAACGGCTTGTATTTACACCCAACTGCTGATTTCTTTAATCCTCAAAGCAATTTTTCAATGTCTAATATTATAGGAATAATATAAAATAATTAATTTACATCTATACATCAATAGTTACTCGTATCACTGTTAAATCCATTGGAGGGTATTAAGATTTCAATAATTAATTTACAAACTAGGAATTTACAAATCTGTTTACAGACCGACATAATTTTACTTTTCAGAAATATAGCTGCTAGTAGTTGCTCACGATCATAATAATCGCTAGAAGATCGGACCTGTGGCCCTCGGGGACTGCCGCGGTAAAGCTATTGCATAGTATTTTTTATCAACTTATGCAATTATAATTATTTATTTATTGTTTGTTTATGCAGTATTTTTTTATTAATTCAAGTTTTTTCTTTGATATTTATTTATTTATTTCATTTATTTACCCTTTATGCACAAATAGTACAATGGCGGACTTAATGCTAAAAGCATTATCTCCCAGTCAACCTTGGGCTGGTACAGAGAAAACTATACTATTATTAAAAATAGATATTTAATTCAAGTTACACTTTTTGAACATGGTGACCGATAAGAAATCAATTTGTTTTTCTTTTATTGAATAAATGAGAAGTTAATATCGTTTAGATATTTTTATTATCTTACAATACATGTAGGTTATTCAGGAATTTTTATCATTGAAACTATTGGTCTATGGTAACTGAAATAAGAAACATAAGTTTGAGACTTGATATCCTCTAAATATCATATCATATGATATATACATAATATTATAATATGCAATAGCTTAAAAATACTTTCCAATTTGATAGCTCTCTTGACTAAACTTTTTTTTAATGCGACAAGAAGAGAATCTTTTGGGACATTTGAATGACGGTTTAATTTTTCAACGTTAAGCGTTAAATGACTCAATGTTCACATATTGTTGTTTTAAGCCACGCCATTGATTAATTTTCGACTGTCTCTAGACGACCATATTTTTCGTCACGCGTTTCAAACTACCCGCTACGGGTGAACCACCCGAAACAAAACCGATTCCTTTCAACGCCCGAGTTGAGTTTATTGTACGTAAGATTAATTTAAATTTATTTAAACATGAATGACGCCGTTATTGCTTAATAACTACGTCATTATTTTGTTACTGCGTCATTGTAGCCATTAAGGAGCCCCCATTACCGTCGATGCATTAGGCGGCCCCGATACAGTTTTCACTTTTATTACATGGGTTTATGTATTTCTCAAATTTAATGTATTACGTATGATCTATGTCCTACTTTTTGTGTGTTATTTGTAATTCGCAATGCTGTTCAGAGTCGTATCGCGCCCGTTAGTTGTTTATACGTTCGTTTCTCCTGCCTAAAATAACAATTTAGCGTGTCCATAGTCGGAAAACAAGTCTTTATTGCTAATTTGATGTCGCCAGCTCTTGGGGACTGTGTATATTCGCCCTTATCTCGATTTATATTCCTTATTTAGTGCTTCTACATTCGTTATCTCAACTTTCACCTTGACGACAAAGCTATTGGCATATTTCGTTTCACAACCATATACATACTAACAACATATAGATACTAAAAGTATAAAAATGATATATTTTTATTAAGAGCGGATGATCAAAATGAAAAAAAAAATCAAAAGCAAAAATTTATTCATCGATATACAGCGTGTCGTTACCAACGCGACAATAAATAAAAACACATATAGGGGATAACTTTTTAAAGTTGTATTAAACATTTAAATTCTTTAAACATCAATATTTACAGAGTTATTAAATTTTCCAAAACAAAGAATTTTACAACACCCTTACGTATAAAACTGTAACGTAAAGTTCATTTGTAAAGGTCACAAAGCATATGAATGGGTTGAATGAATTTAAAAGAGACAAAACATACTGTTAGAAGGAGAGGCTTGTAATGCGACGCTGTGGCGCGAGATTTTTAGGATGTTACAATTTTTGTTTCTTTTTTACTTAATTAGTTTGTTTAAAAAATATTTTTTTTTAATTATGGATTTTGTTTAACGTTAATATTTTTTTATGATTATTGGCAAGTAGCGTTAGACGTGTGTTCATTTATTGTCGCGACGGTAACAACACGCTGTATAAGAAATTTCATCTATCGAGTCATATTTTTTTTAAATCTGTCACCGTTTTGTAATGAGGTTCCTCTAACGGAGAAGAAACAGGCGAAAGAAACTCCGTAGATACCTACGATACCTCTTTTTGTTATTTTTTTCTTAAAAAGTTAAAATAATCTGCAACTGACTTTTTTGCTTTCAGAAATAGATTGGGAGCGATGGGGTTATTGTCATTAATGTATTCGTTTATATGATAATAACCCTTTTTATAAAGTTTTCCTTTCATAAATTTCTTAAACCTGTTAATAGCCAGGCTTTGCGCATTTAATGGATTTTTGGATGGGATTTGCTAGATAGGGGACTATACTAGAGAGTCGAGCGATAAATATGTATCAAGGAGGTAATTATGATGAGCCGTATATACGATTCCAAAAAGAAAAATCTAAAAAAACATCGTCATTTACCTTTACCGTACAGATAAACAGGCGATTTTACAAGTAAAAAGTAAAAAGTAACAGCCTATACATGTCCCACTGCTGGGCAAAGGCCTCCTCTATACAGAGGGTATCAGGGCATAGTTCATCACGCGGCCCCACTGCGGATTGGCGGACATCACATATCTTCGAAATATTTTTTTGTTATTATTTCGAAAATATGCAGGTTTCCTCACGATGTT